TACCTAAGATTGGTTTTTAAATCAAAAGGCTGCTGGTTTTAGAATTGACTATCTCGGTAATTCTGGTACTTACTGAGAAAGGATCATAAAGAAACCCTAACCTGTTTTGTTCCTATTGAAGCCTATTTTGGCATTTCTAACATAAAATTTAAAACTACAATGTAAGAACACACAAAAACGCCAGATTTGGCTATAAAGTATCATTTTTAATCAGGAAGATTCAAAGAACATTTTCCCAATGTTTCAAGAGATACAATCGTCTGAAACCCATTTTCCTTCCAAAAGCCTATTATTTTATGTACATAGATAACTTTGGGCAATTTGGTGTTACGCCTAAATCGTTTTTCTAATCCTTTTGAATGTTTATTTGGGTAAGCATAGGTATTCGCTGTCTTTTGTTTCACTCGGCCGAAATGGCAGGCAATAAACTGTCATTAAAAATGGCGACAACAAAACGCATAGCCGACTTGCTTTAACTGTTTCAAAAAGCGAAACAATGGGAGCATTACGAATGCTCCAAGTACGATTTCCGGTGTACGGCGTGGTAGTATGAGCGTGTCCACAGAACACCTGATTCTGTAACGGACAATAAATCTACGGTCAACTAGATAAAACACGCACCACAAACCAGCTTATGCTACATACATACCCAGGTGATATTTACAACATACGTATACAACAATATAACAGGAACAAACTGAGACAGGGTTGTAACACCCTATTAAGCTTTGGTGCCGAGCGTCTGACAATTACTCATAGTGTTGGATTTGGTTTATTCAAGGAATTCGACTATAAAAGTATATACTTAGTCGGCAAATGCAAATGATTGACTCAGCCTTTTTGACAAAACTTATGGTAATTTTTTATATTAGTTGACATTAGAATTGAGACTTGAAGTTTAGTGAGGTAGGTAGTAGTCACCAAGTAAAGTAGTGTAGTAGTATTTACTAGAACTTTTTTTTACTGGAAGGGCTGCAGCCAGGGCCGTACCAACCGAAATTTGCTCCAATTAGTAAAACTTTAGGAGCCTGTATCTCAAGCTACATTGGTTTCCGCATGGAATTAATACTACCACACGATTCTACTTGGTGAGTACTACCTACCTGACTAAACTTCATGTCTCAATTCCAATGTCAACTAATGTAAAAAATGACC